AAAATAAAGAATATTTTAATGCCTATTTTAGGTTGAAAGATATATGCTTCTCAAAATCTTTTAATTCTCTTTTTAATAAAATGTAAAAACAGAACCATGGAAAATAGAATCAACTACTTCATTTCAGGTACAACACTCTACAGTGTAAATAGGAACATTCCCATGATGTAACCTTCCAGGGTGTTCCAGGACGGCTAAAGCCAATTCATTTTCTTTTTGAGCTCCAGTCAAAAAGGAATCCCCTGGGCTGAACTTGGTAGGGCAGAATTTCTCCCAGAAAAAGGCCATGCTTGTCCCCAGGTCATAAGGTCACAAGCAGTAGCCAGAGCACTGAGAAGCCCTTACCCTGAACATAGCTGTCAGCACAGAGCTCCCTCCTGCCTCCCTTCTGACCGTAAGACTCACTCCAGATTCCAGAACCTTCTGTCAAGGAAAGGGACGCAAAGGCCAGCAGGTGGTAATGACAGTGATCAGGAAAGTTGCCAAATGCACAGAACAGTCTCCAGAGGGAGATGGGAAGGGGAGCCAAGGAGGACTCAGAGGTGGGCTGCAGAGTGAGGCAGCAAGGGGCCCTCACCTGTCCTCCTCCACCTCCTACAGCCCCAGGAATGAATGCTTAGGCTTGGCCCGGCCCCAGCTATGCTAGTCAGTTTTTGGTTGTTGTGACAAAATATCTTAGAAACCAACTTAAAGGAAGAAAGGTTTACTTTGGCTTATGGCTTCAGCTGTAGGTGGCTGGATCCTTTGCTCTCAGGCCTGTGGTGTGGTGGAAACACTATGATGGAAGGTTATGACTGAGGAAAGCTGCTTGCTTAGTGGTGGCCAGAAGGCAGAGATAAAGGAGAAAGGACAACACAGAACCTTTAAAGGTATGCCTCCAGTGACCACATCCTCCAACCACACCTACTGCCTAACGGCCCACTTGGCTCTGAACTCAATAAATTAACCCATTGATCAGTTCAGTGCCTCCACTGTGCAACCACCTCTCAACAGTGCCACCAGCTAGGTCCAAGCCTTCAACATGTGCATTTATTTTCAGGGGCATTTTATATCCAAACTGGAACACCCACCATATTCACCAGCAAACCTGTTGCTTTCAGTATTTTTCCTGTGTCCTCTCACCCCAAGAAAAACCATCGGAATGGTAAACACTATACTTGTGATTATATTTTACAGTTGCTGACTATAAACCAACTCTGTTGAAGAAACAGCCATGACCAGAACTCTGGCTTATGATAATAGGAGTCATGCCTCACATGGAAGACCCCAAATCTTGCGTGCATAATCAAAATCATCTCAAAAGGGCATGCTCTGTGTCGCCAGGGTGAGCCTGTAGCATCCTGATGAAGTTCTTTGACCAACTGACACCAGGAAGGAAAAAAATGAAGGAAAACACTGAAAAGTAATGGTAAGGAGAGAAATCTAAAATCTTTCCATAACCGTTGATCACAGCTTTGCTTGTCACCCACAGATGCTCCCCAGGAATGGGCAGCAGCTTCCATCTGAGAAACTGGGAGCTTGGAGGGAGAAACCTCAGGATCCAGAGTGTTACATGGTGTTAGTTCACATTCCCAAGGAAGGTAGGCTCGGAGGTTGGGAGGGGGTTCCCCAGAGTTATAGTACTCATGGTTCTGGCTCCCACCTCCCCCTAAGGAAGGAGAATGGAGCTAAGGGTAGGTGTCCTTGGGTGACACTGGCTGTTTCTGGGAGCGCAGGGTCAGGGCTTGGCTTCCCAAATGTCTATTCCCCATCAGGTCAGTACTTCAAGCAGGTGTCCTGTCCAAGTCCACAGACTGAGTTAGGGCCACCTCTCCTACAGCTCATGTACTGGGAGCCAGTGTTCCTGTCCCCAGCCTCCTGCCCTGTCCCTGTTTGCATAGCATTGAATGTTGGGACAGTCCTTTCCCCCAAGCTGAGGCTGCACCCCAGTGATATACATCTATCATACTCCATCCAATCCTGGGGGCCCTTCAGAGCCAATTCTACTTCAAAGATGACCAGGAAACCCAGAGGCCAGTGTCTGGACCCTCCTGGGTCAATACTGACCACACACATCACCCTGACTCTCACTCCTCCTCTTCATTTGTTTTCTGTGTGGACTTCCCAGAGACCCACCTACATGTTTAAGTGGACACTGTCCTCCTACAGCTGTGATAATTAAGGAATTTAATACATTACATGATGCTGTGGAAGTAGAAGAAAAAATGCCTCAACTAAAATTCCCTCCATGATCTTCAACGCCAGGTCCTCTACTTAAACAGAAAAATTTATCTAATTGTATGGGTCCATCTTCCAGATCTGCAAAGCATGAGACCCCAGCTCTTCTCAAGGGGTTTCCAGGGGGCACCAGATGGATTTAAAAACAAAGCAAAACAAAAAATAGCAAAGTGGGACTGGAGAAATGGCTCAGTGGTTAAGAGCACAAGATGCTCGTCCAGAGCACCCAAGTTTGGGTCTCAGCATCCACACAGCAGCTAACAACTGTCCCTAATTCCAGTTCCAGGGGATTCAATGCCCTCTTCTGACCTCCACAAGCATTACACACAGGCAGTACACATACATGCAGGCAAAACACTCATACACATAAAAATAAATAAACAAACAAAATGTCAGGGCTAGAGAGATGGCTCAGTGGTTAAGAGAACTAGCTGTTACACTTGCAGAAGACCTGGGTTCAAATCCTAGCACCCACATGGTGGGTAACAACTATCCATAACTCCAGGTCCAATGCCCTCTTCTGTTCACCACAGGCACTGCAGGGCACAGGTGTACTTCCATACATGCAGGCAATATACTCATACACATATAATAATTTTTTTTTAATTAAACCAGCAAAGCTAGAGAGAACCTTAAAGGGCTAAAATCTCACTGACTATGTGTTTAACTTGACCTCTGCATCTGTACTGGGTGGGAACAGACAGGGACAGGGACAGGCCTCACTCAACATCTGTTTACTCTCAACCACCTGCTTATGCTAACCTGCAGTATAAGGGCCACATGATAACAGGACATGGTGTGTGCCCTAAAAGTATCCACGGAAGTCTCTGTGTGGCTTCCCACATAGGCAGTCATGGCTAAATCTTCCCACTGTAGCTTACTAGCTTACCTGGGTGAGCATAGGACCTGCCCTGCCAGCCTCACCAGAAAGAGTAACCATGGCACCCAGGAAGCTCTGGATCATGGGGAAGGTGGAGTGTACCTCATCCTACAGCCAGAACCTTCTCACCTTTCAACCCCTGCGCAGTGGTCCATTGGTGATCCCCTGATGTTTCTACCTGATGCCCACTCAGACCCTAGTAGGCCTGGAGCCCTGCCACTGATGCAGACTACAGGAGACAAGTGAGGCTGTGTTCACAGAGCCTGCCTGTCCCCCACATTCTCACTTGCTTCCTACCAAGAGCTGCTGTGAGACCCTTGCAATGTCCCACATCTGCAACTTCCCAGTCCTGCAATGTCCCTCATCCACATCATCCCACATATGCATGTACCACACCTACATGTCCCACATCTGCACTGACCCTCACCTGAAACATCCCTCACTTGCACCATCCCATGCCTGCAACGTCCCTCACCTGCACCATCCCTCACCCACATGCCCCACACCCACATATGCATGTACCACACCCACATGTCCCACATCTACACTGACCCTTACCTGAAACATCCCTCACTTGCACCATCCCATGCCTGCAATGTCCCTCACCTGCACCATCCCTCACCCACATGCCCCACACCTACAAGTGGAGGCTTGTGGACCACACACAAGGGACCTGGGACCTAAGCTGGGTCTGTCATGAGAACCACTTACAGGGCCACTGGACCAGATCTTCACTGTCCCCCAAAGGCCATGTGATTTCCTCAGTAGTCTGTGGCACTATCAGGAGGTTTTAGAACCTTCTAGAGGGGGTACCTAGTAGAAAGGAGCAGGGCATGCAGATGTGGCCTTGAAGGAGACATCCTGCCTCCATCCTCTCTTTCTCTCTGCTTCCTAACTTCCATGATGTGAGCAGCTTTGCTTAACCATGGGCTTCTGCCTTGCTAACCCAAAGCAGAAGAGTGAACCTCCTATGAACCAATCTGTGAACCAAATATCTTCATTTCTTGTAAGCTACTGAAAAGGCTTTTTGTCTGAAACAGAAAGCTGACATGGGGCCTTTCCCTGGTCTCCATGGATGACTGGTTCCGGAAAAGCCAGTGTCTGCTTGAGGACTAGTTAACACTGAATTTAAACCTGTGAATCAAGGTCCAGGTCCTGAAGATTTTCTAACCCATACCTCAGGCCATCTTGTCCTTTGGTGTGGAGAGAAACTCTTCCACACATGTCTCACAAGCTACAGCGGGCTCCACCACCTGGCTGCCTCCTTTCCACTGTTTAGAGAGGTCAGGTAAAAACAAAGCCACAGCACCAATGCCCTGAAACAGCTCCAAGGGCTCACAGGAACAACGGCCACCCTGCAGAACAGTGTCCCTGCCAGCCCCAGACACACATACCACAGCCTGAGAGTCTGAGCACCCCTCTGCAGGGCACATGGTTGAGGGGGACCATCAGTGAGTGCCAGCAGGTGGCAGAATCCCTGGCTTGTCCCGAACACCAGAAGTACATTATTATACACTGCTTCTTCCTTTATGTACACACTTGTGATAAAGTTTAATTAGGCACAGAAAGAGGTTAACAATAAAATACAACAATTGTAGCAATATGCTATAATAAAAGTTTACAACTTATGAATTATTTATTTCTGGAACTTTCCATTTTGGGGATCACAGCTGACCTTAGATAACCAAGACCAAAGATAAGGGGTGGGAGGATCCCCTACACTAGAACTACCGCCATTAATATATGTATCTCCACACATCAGATACTAACTGACCTTCTTTCATAAACTGCTCAGTGGTTCAAAATTCCAAGAACAGTTAAACGCATACATCCCTGATCACACAACAAGGAAGCAAGATCAAAGGGGTAGTTCTGTCCCTGACCTTTGAAACAAAGCCACATATTAACAGCCAACATCTAAATAGACTTTTATTTTTATTTTGCTTGTTTGGACAGAAAAGAAAAAGTCATTGGCTTTCATTAGTCTTCCCTAAGTGTTTTTAAACTTGTGAACTCAGAAAGAGTGGACCTTGTAGAAAAGTGTCACAAATTAAAAATAGATTTCTCCATGTGGTAAAAGTGCTTTCAGTCCAATTAAAGGGTACAGCAAGGTGTCTGAAATCGAGCCTACGATCCATGACATTGTGGTCCCACCACAGGTGAGGGTGCTCATGGTGAGCGAGGGCACAAAAGGGGTGAGGTGTGGGGGGGGTGCATGTCACCAGCCACATTCTGCCCACTGAATGAACGAAGTAAGTCCTAAGGTGCTCCTTGAGTACATATGTATCTGTATCAATGGGGATCAGGTTAGAAGAGACTGCAAGGTTCAGAAATTACTTGTTTCCCATCTGCCAGGCAGTGCCCACCTTGGGGCCAAGGCTCTATGAAGACATGTTGACCTTGAGCGGGAAGGGCCCTAAACCAGGGTCTCCCAAGTCAGCTGTATGAGCGGGAAGGGCCCTAAACCAGGGTCTCCCAAGTCAGCTGTACCTTTCTGGGGGACCACCACACACGGAGAAAAACAATTAGCACAGGGTCCTCAGCAGAAGATTTTGTTTCCACAGTGCTACATATTTCTCAAAACAAGTAATTCTGCCAACAATGACACTGTGACAAAACGCACAGCCTGCAGCCTCCCCAGGCCTTGGTAGCTATAGCCATGTTTGTCCTGGAAGCCAGCGGCCCTTCCCATCCTGCCACAGGCCAGACACAGAACTGATCATGCAGAGGACTGTGAGGGTGTGTGGGGTGCGAGAGGAGGGGACACCTCCTGTTTACAGTAGACCTTAAGCAACAGTAGGAAAATGACCTGAAGATATTGTGAAAACACAACAACAAACCAGGATCACCCTTTCCGGTGGACCCGGGCTCCCTCTCTGCCCTGCTTCCCCACTAGCCCTAGGGAGGACACAGCCGCTGCAATCACTCCCATCCTGCCACCTGAGTTTTAATGACACCAGGTTGCATTTCTTCTTCCAAGGGAGCCCTCCAAGCTGACCACACAAAGTGAGTGCTGGAAACCCATGTCCCCATGTGCTGAGCTGTGCCACTGGGCAGAGTCCATTTTGCAAGCTTGCCTGGTGTAAACTTATCTGTCAGAATCTCTCAGGCTCTGGAAAGCAGAGCGTGCTCTGCCCACCTCATCGCTGGTGCCTTCTGAGGTCACAGCCCCTCCAGTTACCTGTATCGGGCTCAGACCCTCTGACCACACACGGCCCACTCCAACAGGCAGACAGGTAGCAGGGTGCCTCCTCTTCATCCCTGCCACCCCTGACCCAGCACAGTCTCATTGGGCTGATGACACATCCTCCAGGCCCAGCAACTCCCTTACAAGTCTCTCTCCAAACTGTGCCCGGCTATACCTCTTCACGTGGTAGGCATCTGACATTTTGTACAGGATGTAGGCGTTGTTGACTGCAATGCTGATGGCAAACCAGAACACCTGCTGCCACGTCTTGTTTGGCTTGTGAGAAATGAAATACCTGGAGACAGAGGAGAGAGGCAGAAATGGGTCGCTATTTCTTTACAGAGAAAACACTCCCTCCTTCAGGGAGCCTCTTTGAGACTTAGTGAAAGAAACTTACAGTGCTGGGGAATAAACAGAACTCACAAGACCCAGGAAGCTTTTGAAACAAGATTCACAAGGTCCCACCCCAAGGCTACATAAGCAAAAGGGTTGCTGGGGAGAGGAGACCCTCCAATCAGCTGAGGGAACTCGGGATACAGCCTTCATGACTCAACACCCATGTAGGGTGGGCTTCTCAGTGATGCAGCTGCCTGTGAGTCACCCATGTTCCTGTAATCCTTTACCCACGTCCCTGTGAATAACTCCCTCACCCATTCTCTAGTAAGTGACCACATATAAACTCAGTGGTTCACTAAGCTAGACTTAGGAGCAGCTGTCTCATTAGTCTGGCACTGGTGCCCAATCTGAGGTGAACTGATGCTTGTTCACATCTCCCCAGGAAAGGTCACGCAACAGACAAACCGACTGCAGCACCCAGGGAAGAGGAGGCCAGAGGCCCAACACCAGTCACAGGACCTTCAGACTCCCATGTGCTGGGAGAACAGAGACCAGCTTGCAGGGCCCCATCACAGTGAACTTTATTCAATGAAAACAAACAAAAAACTCTCAAGGAACAGCAGGGATAGCCCTACTCTGACAGGCCGCAGTAGCCCACCAGCCTACCTTTCGAAGCCCTGCTTGAGGTCCATCCACACCCACAGTGCTCATGTCCCTCAATTCTAGACTCTTATGATGTGCTCTTTTTCCCAGATGTGTCCACATTACCCACCTGTCCTTTCTTAGGGAAGCCACAGGGCCCTGGGACCCTGAGGACACTACTCCATCCAGAACCTCATCTCAGGACCCTTTGTTCTGTGGATTTGTCTTTGTGCCCTGGTCACATCATGTCTGAAGACCACCAGAATGTCCAGTGCCCCCCCAGTGTCCACTACACCAGTGACAACATCTTTGAAACTGTGGTACTAGAGTGGAATATCCCATAAAAGCAGAAGGAGTGACTTCACAGGAAAGCTGGGTGCTCCACAGAAGACCTGGGCCTTGCTCTTCCCTCACCACCATGCAAACAGCAAGCAACAGAGGCTCCCCTAAGGTAGCCAAGCTGATGGCTGGATGCCTGGTGAGCTGGACCAGCTTTTGCTCTAGGTAGAAGGCCCAGGAAAGAGGCATCTACATGCTCAACAGCCTCTAATTGACAACTTGTAGTTATGAACCTGGCAGGCTAGTACTGTGGTGCTGTAGGCCGCACATGTCCACTACTGTCTACGCTGTGTGTGCTTCAGTGCCTTTCTGTGCACACCAGCATGCGGCCCAAACTAGGGTTTCTTTGTGTGAAGGAACTCAGGACTCAGACTGGGGCCAGGGAAGGGACTGGAACTACCTCACAGGTCCTCATGCTCCCTAACACATCTGGTCCTACACCACACGACCAGGCCCATACCACTCACCCTCTGCAACCCTCTGCCTGATGCCATGCACACCATCTGCCCGCACTTACTTGCTGTACTTGTCATCGTATCTGCAGATGTAGCTGAGGTGAGCAGCAAAGGCCTCCACAGCCAGGGGGCAGGGGATCTCCCCACTCCTTCTCTTGATGATGACCCCTGTTGGGGAAAGAGAAGCTCAGTCTCCTCCTGGGCACTCAACACCATTTCCAGTCATGCCTGGCTACCCCTAACCAGGCTATCCAGCTCACAAGGTGGGGGAGGAGGGAACCACTCATCTGCCACCAAGACTCAGTGGTTTCCTGGGACATGGGGACAATGACACCCCTAAGGCAGCTCTAAGCAAGGTTCAGGTCTTCTCTGGAGCAGCCAGTCTTTCTGTACACCCTCTAAGTGTAGACAGGCCTGAGACGAGGAAGAGGAATCAGGACTCGCTTCTCTTCCCCCTACTGGTTGGGGTGTGGGGGCAGCTGGGAGGAGGTAGCAGTAGAGGTTAGGAACATGGAGCCATCTCTGCCTCTTTCAACGCACAGGGTGGGATCAAGGTGCAGAGGAACAAGGAGGCTACCCTCCATTCTAGACCTAACCCTTTCTTGCCTCCCAAGACTCCTGGGGCCCTGCGATGAGGAATGGAAAGCTCCCTACTTCCTCTCTTTGTTCCCTACCCCAGAACACTTTCTCTACACACACAGGGAATGCACCTGGGGCACCTCCAAAGTCATGGCACAATTTGCAACCAGTAGAGCCTGGAGATCAAAAGGCAAGCCATGAGATTTCCTCATTCCATGTCCTGTGTACTACCCATCCCAGGCCACAGGGACACAGAAAGAGGCATCCTTCCCAGCACTACGTGTACCAGGCATGGCTGGGGTTCTCCCACTGAGCAGCCCCCCTAACTGCCTGGAGATGAGGCACAGTGTTGATTATGGTATGATTTCACAGACCTGGAAAGTTCAGTAATATTTATATGGACAAAGTCAAAGTAAAAATAACAAGGGAGGAGCTTGTCTAGGGCCAGGCCCTACTGGCCCCGCACTCTTCCCAAGGGATAGGTGGGAGCCAACATGGCACAGCCCCCTGCCTCAGAAGAACAGAACTGTCATCTTTCCTTTTTCCCTGAAATAGTGTGTCTCACATGAGGAAGCCTGTGGGAAACATGGGCGCACGCTGCACTGACTACGTATATGTCCACTCATTGCTCACCCACTGCTGTGACTGCACACACACACGGCTCTGCTGGGGAGCCCCACGTCTGCATATCCAGCAGCAGTTCTACCCTATCGTCGTCACTGGGCTCTGAGTTCCCTGGATGGCACCTGGCTACCACTCTGCAAGTCTGAACAACACATCCAGGTCCCAACTTGCATATGCACACAGACCTCTCTGTGGGGCTCAGGGAAACTTGACCTCAAGTGGGCCAAGACCAGGTAGAACCTAAGGCTGGGCAGCCACCTGAGAACATATGGATTTTACGTTATCACCTGGACCATGCAGGAGGGGCTGCTTGGTCCACAACCCTGGCCATGTGACAGCACAGCAAGCGACCAGTGGGGCCACGTGCCAAAGCAAAGGAAGTCACTTCGAAGAGTAGACACTTCTAAAGCAAGGTTAGTACAAACAATCAGCAGACATGCCCTGAAGAAATGTAAGCCTTTATGCCAAAATGGTTGTCAGCTGGTTATGGTGGCTTTTTCCTAGAATCCCAGCTCCTGGGAGGCTGAGACAGGAGAATTGCTATGCGTTTGAGGTCAATCTGGGCAATACAATGTGTTCTGGAGCAGCCTGGGTTACAGAGTGAGAGCCTGTCTCAAACAAAGTAAAGCAAAATAAAATAAAATAATTAAAATAAAATAATAAATAAAATAAAATAAAATAACAGAATATTCCACTATTCATGGATCAAAAACAGAAATACGTGGGGCTGGAGAGATGGCTCAATGGTTAAGAGTACTGGCTGCTCTTGCAGAGGACCCAGGGTTGGTTTTCAGCACTCACATGGTAGCTGGTCAACTGCCGTTCCAGGGGAACTGAAACTCTCCTCGGCCTCTTACAGTCCTGCATAAAATAAAATAAAATAACAGAATATTCCACTATTCATGGATCAAAAACAGAAATACGTGGGGCTGGAGAGATGGCTCAATGGTTAAGAGTACTGGCTGCTCTTGCAGAGGACCCAGGTTTGGTTCTCAGCACTCACATGGTAGCTGGTCAACTGCAGTTCCAGGGGATCTGACACTCTCTTCGGCCTCTAGAAGTACTGCATGACACAGATACACGTACATACATGCAGGCAAAACACTTATACACATAAAATAAAAATGATAAATATTTTTTAAAAATGAAAATGTGAGCAGCTATAGGTGTGGTGGCACATACCTGTCAGCACTTAAGAGGCTGACGCAGAGGGAAGATGAGTTTGAGGCCAGCCTGGGCTACATGGAGATTGAGGCCAACCTGTACATACAAAGGTCCTGCCAAAGAAAACATTAAAAAAACAGAAAAGAAAAGAAGAAAGAAAAATCTACCAATGTGTTGTGCTCTGAGATGTGACCAGACAGGGATTTCCAGAGCATGCCACAGCACCTCACCTCTTGTCCAACAGGACCCCACCCTTCCCTAGGTAGCACCTGCTCCCAGCTTAGGACACATGCCATGTTCTTCCTACCCATGGGCTCTCTGGGGTCCCTCAGCTGCAAGTCAGTCTGCAGGGACACTGTGGCCATATTCCTTGGGGTTTTCAGTGACTGTGGCACCCCAGACCTCATGTCTTACACAGTCCTTCCAACCACAGTCAGCACAAGTGAACAAACATGTTTTACCAGAGTTAAGAGCTCTTCTCTCCCTTCTGCAGCCCCTTGCTTGTTCCATCAGTATCTGGTGGAAATGTTCCAACCCACAGGACCAGGGACTTGAAACTTGTCATCCACATCCTATGCCACACTTTTCCAGACTCTTCAGGCTTAGGGACACTCTGCCATTGGAATGGACACTCCCTTCCCTGAAACATATCCTGCTTTGGGGACCTCTGCAGAGGAGTCATTTGAAACTTGGGAGGGAGCTGGGGCCCTACTCCAAGCATATTTCCCAGGACCACCTATGCTTACCCTAAGAGCCTCAAGGTATAGAGGGTGAGGGCAGGATGGTCTTCTAGAGTCATGGATGCACCCTGACCCCAGGCAGGGCAGAGGTAACCACATACTTGGGTCCTTGGACTCATTTCTAGAGATGCACTGGTGGCTCAGGTGTGTGGGTCAAGAACAAGGGAGCATACATTAAACATGCCATATCACAGGCATAGGCATGGTACACATGACAACATGTACACATGCTCATATACACACACAGCAATTGACATACCATACACATAACATGTGCATATACTACAGCATACATAATCACATGTACACACATAGCAAATCATGGAAACAGACACATCATATACAAAACAATCACACACTACACACAAATAATATATTCATGTATACAGAAATATACACATACACCGTACACAAAACAAACATGTATACACATGCATACACACATTATAGAAACATGACATACATAACAAGTGTGTGCATGCCCTCTACAGAAACACATATATACCACACAAATATGTGCAACAAACAACACAATACAGTAATATACACAAGTCACACTACAGAAACGGGCACTACACAGAGAACATGTGTATATTCATGATGTGCCAGAGGCACATGTGTATATACGTGACATGACTGTATACACATTATACCACAGAAATATACACACAGCAGACACGTGCATACATACACACTACACACATATCATGTACACATGCCACACCATGAAAATGTGCACACCACACCCCCAGCACATACACTGGAATGCAGATTGCTGGCGTGCATGTGACACAGCAAGCCTCTCTCTCCCTTTACAGCCTTCTCAATTTCCTTCTCAGCAGTTTAACAATGTCTTAACTGTCGAGTACTTTAAATAAAGACTCTGGTCTAATTAAGTCCCTTTCTTATGAATAGATCTTAAATCCTTTGGTAATAAGTGAGGAAACCAGTAGGCTGCCTGGCATGCAGGACCACATAGACACTTTGCTTCTAGAAAAGGAAGAGTCTGTGATGATTAAGTGATCCCTAAATTCCATCTATATGTAGCCCATCTTCAAACCCTAACAACAGGGAGCAGAGTCATCACACCCTGACAACAGGAAGAAGAGTCGTCACACCCTAACAACAACAGGAAGACAGAGTCATCATGCCCTAACAACAGGGAGCAGAATCATCACACCCTAACAACAGGGAGAGAGTCATCATGCCCTAACAACAGGGTGACAGAGTCATCACACCCTAACAACAACAGGAAAACAGAGTCATCATACCCTAACAACAGGGAGCAGAGTCATCACACCCTGACAACAGGGAGCAGAGTCCTCACACCCTAACAACAACAGGGAGACAGAGTCATCACACCCTAACAACAGGAAGCAGAGTCATCACACCCTGACAACAGGGAGCAGAGTCATCACACCCTAAAACAACAGAGAGCAGAGTCATCACACCCTGACAACAGGGAGCAGAGTCATCACACCCTGACAACAGGGAGCAGAGTCATCACACCCTAACAACAACAGGGAGCAGAGTCATCACATCCTAACAGTGAGCAGAGTCATCACACCCTGACAACAACAGAAAGACAAGAGTCATCACACCCTAACAACAGGGAGCAGAGTCATCATGTCCTGACAACAGGAGAATCATCACACCCTGACAACAGGGAGCAGAGTCATCACACCCTGACAACAGGGAGCAGAGTCATCACATCCTAACAGTGAGCAGAGTCATCACACCCTGACAACAACAGAAAGACAAGAGTCATCACACCCTAACAACAGGGAGCAGAGTCATCACGTCCTGACAACAGGAGAATCATCACACCCTGACAACAGGGAGCAGAGTCATCACGCCCTGACAACAGGGAGCAGAGTCATCACACCCTGACAACAGGGAGCAGAGTCATCATACCCTAACAACAACAGGGAGCAGAGTCATCACACCCTAACAACAACAGGGGGAAGAGTCATCACACCCTAACAACAGGGATCAGAGCCATCACATCCTAACAGTGAGCAGAGTCATCACACCCTGACAACAACAGGAAGACAAGAGTCATCACACCCTAACAACAGGGAGCAGAGTCATCACACCCTGACAACAGGAGAATCATCACACCCTGACAACAAGGAGCAGAGTCATCACGCCCTGACAACAGGGAGCAGAGTCATCACACCCTGACAACAGGGAGCAGAGTCATCACACCCTAACAACAACAGGAAGCAGAGTCATCACACCCTAACAACAACAGGGAGCAGAGTCATCACACCCTAACAACAGGGAGCAGAGTCATCACGCCCTGACAATAGGGAGCAGAGTCCTCACACCCTAACAACAACAGGGAGACAGAATCATCACACCCTAACAACAGGGAGACAGAGTCATCACACCCTAACAACAATAGGGAGACAGTGTCATCACACCGTAACAACAGGGAGCAGAGTCATCACACCCTGACAACAGGGAGCAGAGTCCTCACACCCTAATAACAGCAGAAAGACAGTCATCACACCCTAACAACAACAGGGAGCAGAGTCATCACACCCTAACAACAACAGGGAGACAGAGTCATCACACCCTAACAATAGGGAGCAGAGTCATCACACCCTGACAACAGGGAGCAGAGTCATCACACCCCGACAACAGGGAGCAGAGTCATCACACCCTGACAACAACAGGAAGACAAGAGTCATCACACCCTAACAACAGGGAGCAGAGTCATCACACCCCGACAACAGGGAGCAGAGTCATCACACCCTGACAACAACAGGAAGACAAGAGTCATCACACCCTAACAACAGGGAGCAGAGTCATTACACCCTAACAACAACAGGGAGCAGAGTCATCACACCTTAACAACAACAGGGAAAGAGTCATCATGCCCTAACAAGAAAGTGACAGAGTCATCATGACCTAATAAAAGGGAGACAGAAATCACACTGTAACAACCAGGTTAGGCCATAAAGCCACCCATCAACCCCATCCTCTCAGCTTGCTAGTTCCAATTAAGGGCTCAGGATGCTCTTTGCTGTCCCCTCCCAGGCCACTACAACCACTAGGGATACAGCCAGCACTGGAGGTCACGTGTCAGCATGTGGGCGAGGCCACCCAAGGGTCCTCTCAGGACCCCACACTCACCTTGCTGCACTGGGGAGTAGGCGTTAGTCAAAAAGCGGAAGTGCCCCTTGTTGTACCAGCAAATCAGAGACATGTTCCCTTTTGTCCTGATCTGGTGCTGGCCACGGGCAGGCGGTGTGGCAGGGTTGGTCAGCATGGACAGAGGGAGGCCCGTGCAGTCACTCTTCCTGGAGCTGAGCAGGCCGCAGCAGTAAATGCCTGGCAAAAGAGATGCAAAATCCCACAGGTGTCACTGTCTGGGGATTCTACGCCACGTCCCAGGGAAGGAAGGACTGCTGAAGACCAACATGCAGAACCCCTCAGAAACAGCCTTTCCTCTCTCTGCCTCCCCCATGCCTTTATACAAACCACACACTAAGGCCACAGGAAAGGTCATAACCAACGTAAGCAATGCATATCTGCAGCAACAAGAGTTTCATCAACAACCCTCTATGCGTCAACACAGTGTGGGGCAAATATCCTGTCTGCTTCTGAAAACCTCAATTTGCTCACCACAGAAGAACGAGACCTGAAGGAGAACAAGACCCCCAGGTCACAGCTGGGAGGGAAAAGATGGGGGGGGGCTATTGTAGCCAGAGTCCTGGGGATGGGCACAGCTTGTCAGTGACCCTCAGCATGATGTAGACAAGATACATGGTACTCCCTGCAAAGAGCTCAATAACTTCAAATGCTTCTAAAAATATACAGTGGCATTATTAGTAATGTTATCTAACCTTAGGAAAGTGCCAAATTCCAAATCTAGTTACTCTCTTCCGGCAGGACATTCTCACTCCATCCTCCTAGCTTGCTGAGCCAGAGAACACCTTTCCTCTTAGATCCCAGAAGCAGCACCCCTGGTCAGGCCATGTTTTGGCACCAGCACCCACTCTGCTCCCAGGAGTATCCACACATGCAGTGTCCACACTGGCATGCGCAGCGGGCAGGTGCATTAGCCCAGCTACCATATGTGCTTCACGGAGAGCCAGAGCTCCACAGCAGCTGCATCATGTGTTCCAGGATGGGCACCTGCAACCTCCTTCCCTTCCAGCAGTGTGAGCTCTCGCAGTCTGCTTCCCTCCTAGCAATCCAATCTCTTGAGTTTCTGGCACAGATTATTCCAGAGCCACCTGCACCAGGCAGTGCAGAGACCAGCGGCACCCAGCCCACAAGACGCAGAAGCCAGCTGCTCCTTCACTTCACCACAGTTTCTGAGGCCCAGAAGGTAAGCTGCTAATCCCCCACAGTACAAGACGGTTCAGTTTCAAGCCCAGACGTCCACTGTGTGGTGGAGCCAAATGCCTTAGTTCTAATAGCTTCTGTCTATGAGCTTTTTTTTCCCAAGCACAGTTTGGTGCTCAGACCTCCCTTTCCACATCTTACTTATGTCACAGCCATGGAAAGCTGGCCCAGTCTTTGTAAAGAATGAACAGGGCATCTTGCCCCCAGGAACCTAAGACCTATCTAAAGCTTGTGGGATCACTCCTCACCACGCAGATCTTACTTGGTGGCTGGGAAGGGGCCACACTAGCGATGGTGGATGATTCTGGCACCTTCCAGACCCTTAGGAGAGGCTTTGCCTGGGGGCCTTTGATAGCCAGAGCCTCACATCAAAGGACATACACAGGAGTGCCCAGAAGCCCGGCAGAGCTCTGTGCCAATGCTGAGCCCGGAATTCATATACCTTAAGATAACCAGTGCCCAGACACACAAGGAGTCTGGCTGGACATTGTGCAGTCTCTGCTGGCTGCTACTGCTGCCCCGACACCCTCCTGGCACTTCCCTGAGAAGCTGGTCATGCTTGGATAGCCAGTGGACAAACCTTGCTTCTCAAACTCTTCAAACAGGGTGAGGCTGGTGATGCTGGGCCCTGTGAAGATGATGTAGTTCTTGCCAGCTGCATTCCGGCAAAGGCTCCGGGCCACCATGCTGTGGAGCTGGGGCTTGTTCTTCAGAGCATCCAGACCATCTGGGCCACTGCCTTCCTTCAGGTGAACGTAGATCTTGAACAGAAACACAGAGGTCAGTATGCTGGAGACATCATGGGCGAGAGCCTGAGGCTGTGGGAAACATGGGCTTGCAGAGTGTGGGAAAGCCAACCCATCATCTCATTGGCCTCACACAGAGCCAGGTCACCACCAGGGCTACCCACAGCCTGGGTATGACACTAAATGACACTTTCATTTAGAAGGGTCAAAGTGGAAAAGGAGAAAGAGAAGCAGTTATTAGGTGGTAAACATGGCTATCAAAATTCACACAGGCCAATGCCCCAGTCTTGAAACATAAATTAAAAAATCATAAAAAAATAGAAACAAAGGTCACTTCATGGGCTAGACATGCATTTGTCCTCTAGACAAAATGGCCAGTCAGTCCACAGGCAGGCACAGCAGACCTTGTCTGCTTCACAGAGCTGAGGAAACAGGATGAAGGTCAGACACGCTCCAAGGACCAGGAAAACAAAGAGGACACTCTGGACTTGGCAAGCAGTCCCTAACATGTGATCCATGTGCGTCCAGAATTGCCAACAGAAGAGTGGATGTCGGAAAGGGGACGGATTTGAGGACAACCCGGCCCTCCGTGTAAAGCAATCACAAGGAACTCCCAGAGAGATTTCCTTGGAAGGGAACGCCAGATTGATCAGAGACTTTTGTGGACAGCTGCCGAGCAGTTCCCTATGCCTGCCCTGCCCTACAGAGAGCATGCTGACCTCAGTGTGGTCTGATCATCTCAGAACAGCTAAGAGCAGGGCTTTGAACAACACTGCCTGAGAAACACCCAGAGGGAGCACATGGAAGACCCAGCCACTGTGTCAGGACTCATCCTGTCTGATGAGTTTGGAGGTCACCTACCAAACACAGGTGTCCTTGTGGAGGAGAGAGGACACAAAGGCCAAGGCTGTGCCTAAGTCAATGGATTGGAATGTGACTTAGCAAGAAGTCTTCAAAGAAATTGCACCAAGAAGCAGTGCAGAACATGAACTTCTACATGGAACACGCAGCTGAACACAGTTTCTGTTTCTGCACACTTTCACACTTGGATTCAGAAACATGATGTACCAGGGTATTTTTAAATTATGGCATGAAAAATTATCACAAGCCTGTTAGTCCACTGTGCTGTAGGCAGGTGGCTGCAGGGGTTGGGGGCCTGTGGAGAAACTGGCTAAAGAACACTAAGTTTCAGACAAGAGGAATAAGCTCAAAAGGTTTATTGTGCATGGTGACTATTGCCAATAACAATCTAGTGGATTCCTGAAAATTGCCAAGAGACTTTATTCTTACCACAAAAAATGATGTAAGTATGCAAGAGGATGTGTACTAATTTTGGTGCAGCTATTTCCTGAAGTACATATCTCAGGACACCATGTTATTCATAAGTATATGCAATTATTTTTCGATTGAAAAATGAAAATTTGGGGACAGGGAGATAGCTCAGTTGTTAAAGTGCTTGCCTACAAGCATGAGGATCTGAGCACAATCCCCCAGAACTTATGTTTGTTGTTCAAATCTGAATGTGGTAGTGAGCACTTAAAATCTCAGTGTTGAGGAGGCAGAGGCAGGAGGATCCCTAGAGCTTGTTGGTCAGCCAGCCTGCTTGGAGAGCTCTAGGCTGAAGATTTCAAAAACAAACAAAGAAACAAACAAACAAGGGGTGGTGCTAGAGAGATGGTTCAGTGGTTAAAGGCACTGGCTGTTCTTGCAGAGGACCCAGGTTCAGTTCCCAGCACCCACATGGCAGTCAACAACTGTCCATAATTCCAGTTCCAGGGGATCCAATGCTCCCTTCTGGCTTCCAACAGCATTGTATGGAAGTGGTGCACAGACATACATGCAGACAAAACACTTATACGCATGACTTTTTTTTGAACAATCTTAAAAATACAAGATGGACAGCACCCGAGGAACAACTGTGTCATCCATATGTACATGCATATATATGCATGTACACCTGAATGATATGTGCACAAGTATCATATGCATACACACCTGCATACATATGTGCACCTGCATCCATGCATATGCATACACATGCACACAAATAAGCTTAAAAATGATGACTCCTGGTATTTTAGTCACAAGTTCCACTTTTAGGAGTTCAACATGGGGTGACATAAAAGTGTGAAAGGGCTCCTGTATGTGACCATGAGTATCCCAAGAGCCTCTGTACCAGAAGAATGGGCAGTCCAATTCTGCCATGCGAAGAGACCAGTTAAAATGACGTGTGGGTACAACAGAGCACAGGACATTTACTCAAGAATCATTGTATACAAAATATATTCAATTCCACAGAAAGTATTTTTAACAGTATGCTCCATAGAAATAGCCAGACTGTAAATCAGACCCAGTGAGTGTGTGAGCACGAGGACATGCATGTCTTTCTACAGACATGTTGGTTACATGCTCAAGTAGCTATTTCTTCATGTTGTAGTTGGAATGTGAAATGTTCTTCACACTTGTGTTTGAACACATGATCTCCAGCTGATGGTGCTAACTGGGGAGGTAGTGGCAGTTTGAGGAGAGGCCTACCTGGAGGAAGTGGGCTGCTGGGGGCGGGCTTGAGGGGACAGGGACAGGAAGGCTGTGGGTTCAGCACAAGTCCCTCTTCTAGCATGCTGCAGCCTGGCCCTGCTTCCTGTTCAGCTAGCTCTCTGCTTCCTGAGAACAGCATATAACCAGCTGCCTCACCCACTGCCACAGACCCAAGCTTCTCCTACCACCATGCCTTGCCCACAATGATGGACTGTCTCCTCAGAACTGTGAGCCAGTATACACCCCTCCTCTCTTAAGTTGCTTCTTGTAATGTGTTTGGTCACAGAAACAAGAAAAGTAACTAATACAAGCCAGGCGTGGTGGTAAACACCTTTAATCCCAGAACTCAGGAGGCAGAGGCAGGTAGATCTCTGTGAGATGGAGGCCAGCTGAGTCTATATATAAATTTCAGGCCAGCTGTGACTATGAGAAATGCACGTAGGGTGTCTGAACATTAATGCATATGTATACCTAGGACTGCTTGGTAGGGAATGCAGTGCCAGACAGAAGAACTCCCTTAAAGTGACAAATGGCAGTACAGCACTCATCAAAGAAGCTTCTTTTTGCAACAGATGGAGGCTACTACAGAGTTGCACATCTGGTCAGCCACAGAGAACATACATCTGGGAGACGCCCAGTACTAGGTGACACATTTGCAGTCGAATCTCTACAACCAAGGCTCATGGAACATAGCAGACTAAGGGGTGGAGAGAGGGCTAATGCACCCCTCAACTGTCACCAGTGAGGTTTCCACATACATCAGAGTTTGATACACACAGAAGTCCACAACTGGCCAAGCTCTGGGGAATAAGAGACTGGAGAGTGTAGGATGGGACTCCTATATGGAACCTCACCCACCCACGGCTCAGGGACCATTGCAGGACAGTGCACATGTGCTGAATAGCTCTAGTGTCAACTTAACATACCTGGGTTGAGGAAGCCTCAATCGGGGAATTGCCTCTATTGGACTGGCCTGTGGCCATGTCTGAGGGGCATCTTCTTGATGAGTGATGTGGGAGGGCCCAGGCCACTGTGGGTGGTGCCAACCCTGGGCAGGTGGGCCTGTGTTGCACAAGAAAGCAGGCTGAGCAGGGGCCAGGAGAGCAAGTCAGTAAGCAGCATTCCTCCATGGCCTATGCTCTCCTCCTGCTTCCAGGTTCCTGCCCTGAGTTCCTACCTTGGGCTCTCTGATGAACTGCAACCTGGGAGTTATAAGCTGAATAAACCCTTTCGTCCCCAAGTTGGTATTGGTCAGAGTGTTTTGTCACAGCAATGGAGAAACAAACCAGAACAGCACAATAAAGCATTTAGTGAAATTACAGATATTCTTGGAATTTTATATTTTTTGGTGCTGAGTATTCAATTAGGACAAGACACATTAACTATAAAATCCTTCTGTATTGATGGGTACAGCTGGAAACTGGCATGTCCTAGGACATGAGTTTATGGTTGTTTATGTGTACTGCACTCTGCCAGCTTAGATCCTCAGAGCAGGGCCAGTATCTTACTCCCCTGAGACTGGCAAGTTTCCTTAGTACTAGTAATGTGGGCTGGGATGTGTGGTCCAAACATCTGCAGGGCCAGCTGGAATTGCTCAGTACTTTGCCCCAGACTGCTTTATCCATTTTAGAAGCTTTTCTCTTCAGTGGACCCTACAGCATTTTCCCTTCACAATTTGGAGACTTAGCTGGGTGTGGTCTTGCCCCAGAGGCACTCTCTCCATTGTTTAAATGAAAATCCCTAGGCCTCTCCTTAATCACTTTAATCTCCTTATCAGAGGGATCCACTCCAGCACATGCCAGGGCTCCAACATTTATCTTCCTAGTGCTCTTTTTCAATCCAAACTGTACATTCTGTATTTCTTTCTGCCCCATTTGCTCCTTTTCACTGTAGATCTGCATAATATTCACCATTAATAGCCACACCACCATTTCTATGTTAGGCTGTCTTGAAATTTCTTCCACCAGAAAAATTAGTCCATTGCTTTTCAACTTAGCCTCAGGCAAGCATTTTAACTGTGGGCAGACTCCATCCAGACTATCCCAACTGCTGCTCAAGTCCTTATTTCCCTCTGCACTATTTTCTTCAAGGTACCTACTAGAATGGCCTGTTAAGCTCTGCTTATAGCAGTCAACTACTTTTCTAGCCCAAACTTCCAAAGTCTTCCACATTCTTCTAAAACCCCACATGGTCAGGTTCTTCACAGTCAACAGCCCAAGCTCTGGTACTAATTACTGTAGTAGTTACTTTTTTTTTTTCCTTTTTTATGTGTATGTGTGTATTGCCTGCATGTAGGTAAGTGCACCCGTGTCATGCAATGCCTGCGGAGGTCAGAAGAGGCTGTCGGATCCCCTGGGGCTGGAGTTATGGACAGTTGTTACCTGCCATGGGGGTGCTAGGATTCGAACCCGGGTCTTCTGCAAGAACAACCAGTGTTCTTAACTGCTGAGCCATCTCTCCAGCCCCTAGTTACTTTT